TTATTCTTCATAGTTTAATCACAATGATTTCAAATTAACCTTATGCCTTTGTCTGTGAACAAAGTGAACAAAGAAAGGACAGCTCTTATGTATTGCTCACACTGTGGCAAAACTCCCATTGATTTCAGTAGGAACCAGGATTTTATCTTAAGCCCTCTTGACCCTGCTCTGGCAGTAAAAAGTGTCCTTAAAATGGTTGTAAATATAATTTATGCCCACAAAACCATGGTGGTGTAAAGTGGCATTAGTGTAATTGAGCATCAGGCCTCATAATGTTCATCATTGATAAAACACTCTCCATGGTATTCTCCCTTCATCCTGGCTCACTAAGCCTCTACTATCTTCTCATTCAAATCCCCCCAGAAAGCTCTCATTTCTGGGGCATCACCTAAAAGAAACAGTTAACTCTTCCCCATCCCTCAAAGGCACAAGAACTGAAGCATCAACATGTCCACATGACAAAAATTAGGTTGTTGTGACAGTATCCAATTCACATAAAATAAGAGCCAGGTATTTTTTTCAAGTTTAAATTAGTGGCCACGTACTGTGGCCCAAACCTTGTTCCCTGTTAAATCAATTATAATATGCCATTGTCATCAGTGGTACTGGATCCATACCTAACTCTGTGTCCAAAATAAGTATTCAGTTTTAGAAAATGCTGATAGACCAGGAAAGTATCCACTAAAAACAAGGATTTAAAATCACCCTTCATTGCTCCCTGTGTGTAAGAGAGGCATCAGAATAGAAATTATTAAGACTATGGATACAAATTAAGGAAGAGATTTAATGGCTGAGAGACCCCAAGAGATGTACCTGATATTGAAAATTCATACAAAGAACATACAATCATTGAATTTTCTCTAAACGCAACAGAAACTATGTACTGTACTAGGAGTATGTGTCATGTCTATTACACAACAGCTACTGTAGCCCATCATCATCAGTTGACATGAATCACAGCAACAGCCAGTAATTCTAAGGCTACCAGCACACTCTGAGCTCTCTGGACATTGGTTAGTTGGACAGTAGAAAAAGACCAGCAGTGATAAAGTATCTTTTACATATGTGCTTAATGTATTGATGGCCAGTCTCCCAGGTTGTAATTGCTTTAAAAGAGAAGGAATTGCAGGAAATGGGTGGTTTACTTTCTCTCTTATTTCTTTCACGTTTGAGGAAAATAAATCAGTTCACATATTTACTGTTTTATGCTTCAGATCTACTTAGCACTAGACTTTGTTGTTTCAAGGATGTACAATCTGAATGAGGGCAAATTATTCATGGCAAGAGTTTTTATTCTTGTTTTGTGGGAAGGGAGCTAGATAAACTTTTCTGAGCCATTGTTAAAAAAACAAACAACCTGATACAGTTTTAGTCCCTGATCCTGCAAGGCTGTACATGAGCAGCATCGTTGAAGCCGAGGGTAGGGATAGGGTGCTTACTATCTACGTATAATTAAATATCAATGCCACCCCAAAGGCAAACACAACACACTTTAAAAGTCCTGCTCCCATTGAAATCAATGGCAAAATTATTATAGACTTCAGTGGTGCAGGATTGGTTTCATATGTAAATCTCTGAATACTGAGAGTTGTATTACTCATAGAATATCAGGGTTGGAAGGGACCTCAGAAGGTCATCTAGTCCACCCCCCTGCTCAAAGCAGGACCAATCCCCAACTTTTTTTTTTACTCCAGATCCCTAAATGGCCCCCTCAATGATTGAGCTCACAACCCTGGGTTTAGCAACCACTGAGCTATCCCTCCCCACCATACTAAAGTGCTAGTAATGATCTAAAATGGGGAAAGGGGACAAATGAGTCAGTTCTAACTGGTCATCAACTGTCAGAAAAATGTTCTCCTTGTCCATCATTATTGCTCAAACAGCAGATGGCCATGATCCCAATATTAATAATAGGCTACACCTAGGGAAATGTACATATGCTAGGACGTAGGGAAAAGTGTATAGCTGTGCATAATCATAGGTTAAAATGAAACATTCTGAGAGCAAGTATGCTTTGCCTTCCTAAGAGTGAATCATATTTTACTGATAGATTTTGTGGCTTTCGGAACATAATTCTTAACTTTTGGAGTTAGAGCCAAGAATTCAGAAAATATTACCATATACAGAAGAGGAACTGACATTGTTTGGTGTCTGTCAGACAGTAATGTGGTATCAAAGGAGAGCCACACAGTTTGGTTTGCTTATAGACTTTAAAGAATTTCATAGGAATATAGGATTTGTCATGCAGGGCCAGACCAGTAGCCCACCAAATTGAATAACCCATCTCTGTCAGTGGCCGATACCAAATATTTGAGTGGAAGGTACAGGAAACCCCATGGGGAACTATTATGGAACAGCTTGCCCAGAAGAGAAGTTTCTTCCTAACCGCATCAGCTACTAGTTGACTTATGACCTGCAGTAAGACGGTTTATCTCCTTGTTGTCTCTACAAGAACTTGAATAGAACTTTCAAATGAACTGAACCATACTGAAGAAAATTGCAGGTTATCTAATTATGACAAATTTTACGTGCCTACCATATTACATATGACTTTGACCATTAACCAAAAATGGCATGTGTACACTATGTATGTACAGCTAACAGCATTAACAGCATAAACATGTACAGTACAATTTTGGTATGATAAAGTAAAATCATGCCTAAAAGATTGTGGGAAGTAAAATGCCAAATGGCAACTTGATGGATGTTAAGATAGTACACCACAAGTGCACTAATGTACTGGATTCAGTAAAATAAAGACATTTTCATACTTGTCAAGAAGGTGATGGGGGTGAACCTCTTAAAGTTCAGAGGTTTAAGTTTGTTTCAAATACTATAAAACAATATTTATAAATACATATATTACATTTCATTCAACTTATTTAGCAAACCATACAAATATTACAAGCTATGGCCCTAATCCTGCATAGAGAATCACTTGGACAGGCTTCTGAAGTATTCAGAGCCTGCAATGAAATCAATGGGTCTCCACATAGGCACAAGGACCCACAGTACTCTGCAAAGATAGCTTCCTCTATTATTAAACTATAACAGCTGACATAGAAAATGGCAGCCTTTAAAGAACACACAGTAGGAAACTGCCTGTCTGAACTTCTATGCACATAAAACTAGATTTGGGCTGGACTCTGCAAAGTAGCTTTCTAGAGCAGAGACTATCTTCATCTGTTTGTCACTATTTTAATATAAATATTTAATAAATAATAATATTTCAGAGTTTCAGTTGCTTTCTCATCTTTTTCTAATACAGTTTGTTCATTCCTAACAGAAGATTTTGTATTTTAATATAATAATACAACATGATGTTTTAGATGCTCTTTAAGATGCATTGGCTGAAAGGACAGTTTAGAGAAGGAAAGACAGTAGGAAAGCAGCAGAAAGGACAATGTATCTTGTTGAAGAGATCACATACTGTAGATAGAAGGGATTGCATATGTATGATTGCACCATCAGTTCAAAATTACTATGCTCAATGAGTGCTACAATAAGTGTTTCTATACATTATTATAACGGCCTGGAACAGCTTTTTTTTATTTGATGAAGCGTGACCCTTCCTCCGACTTTCTTTTCTGACCAAAGATATTTTCAAGTAAATTTTCATATAGCTATTATGGGCCAAATTCTACGCATTTACACAAGTGAATATCCATGAAGATACCGCAGATTTACACCAATGTAAAACAAGAGTGTAATGTGGCTCTCTGTATTTAATAATTACATTTATTTTATCATTTCATGTGGAAAGTATGTCCAATGCTCACACTCTAGTATTTCAAATTCTCTGATTCAGAGTGCAGAATGTTTTCAGATACTATAGGGCTAGATCCTCAGCTGGTATAAACAGGTTAGAGATCCATGGAAGAAAATGGAACTACACCAAAATATATCAGGTGAGTATCTGACCCCGTGTGTTTGTGATAAGATCACAACAGATTTCTCACTTGAAAGTTACTTAAACTAGCAGCTATTGAACCACTTACGTACAAATTGTTTGTGATAGAAAATGTGCTGCCCTTCAGTACATTTGATGTTCATGAACCTATGGATTAGCATATACACAAAATTTCAATAGGTGCAAATAGTGTAACATTTATCTGCTCCTACCATGAACTTTCTGAGGTGCTGGCATGAAATAGCAAAATAGGTGACACTCACTCTATATTTTATTTTATATGCAGATTAAATTAAAGAATTTGAACTATGTTTGTTTCTAAAACCATTATTTCAGGCAGTCATTTACCTTTCAGCTAAAATAGACTGTTTTGTTTACATTCCAAAAATCCCTCACTATTACTGCTTCTCTTTATGGACTAAGTCATTTGGATGCAGGAGGATGTCAATTTTAAGCTATTAGTGTTTGACATTGAATTCCCCTTTTGCCCACTCTGCTTCATTCATTAACTTTTGTTTGGCAGAGAGACAACATACTGATGTTTTAAAAAAGCCAAACTACAGTTATAGATTTCTCCCCCCCCGGCCAGGTCTGGATATCAGCAGGGTTTTTGTGGTTTTTTTGGGGGGGGGGAAACCACAGCTGCTTGTAATGTACATTTTTTTCAGTGTCAGTTGGTCATGCCTGAATAAATTGATGTTTAGTTTAATTTTTATGTCCCCTTTCTGAACTTTATCTGATCTCACTTATACTAGTGTAAATCAGAAGATGCAATAATATAAATCAGAGTAAGAGTAACCATAATTAGGCCCTACATTTCTCTGTCTCTTTCCCTTTCTATAATTACACCAAATTTTCTCTGTTACTACAGCTGTTTCTTACAGGTTACTTTTCCATCCCTCTGCCCACTAGAATCCAAACTGCACACATTCCTTTCTTCAGGTTTTAATTTGATTGAAAACCTGTCCCTTAGTTTTCACCACTTGACTCAGTTTCACTGTCTGATTCTGTAACTGACCTTTCACCATTTGCTTGTGTGAAATACCTGTGTTTGTAACTAAATGGGCACAAGTAAAATAATTTCCAATACCTCGATGAGTAACAACTGCAAGTTCTTTAGTTCTTTCTATCTGCTCAGCATTTCTTGGTCTTCTTCTTGCACTTTGTATGTTTGCTTGATGAAGGGAGAGCATTTCCTTGGAAGTGGCGGGTTCCAGAATTGATTTTCTGAGATTCATAGCTTGCACTCGCTGCTCTTCGGAAAGTCTATGGTTGGTGACAGCAGTAACACTGGATACAGTAACATCAGCAGATGTGCTAGCAACAGTAATAGCACCAGTAGTAGCCGCAATATGCTCCTCTAACTCACCAGTGGAGGCAGTTTTGGTCAAACTGGAAGAACCTGTGGGACACATAGTAGCACTGGATGCTAACTTTTTCTTTTGAATTGTGTTTTTCTGAACAATTTATTAGATTAAATTTCCCTCTGTTTACCACAGTAAAGACAACTGAAATGGAGATAGAGTCCATAGCACTTTATTTTTAAAAATTGCAAGAAATCAGAACATATTTGTGTGTCAGTAAACACGATGTGCCTGTACTGACTATTACACACATCATATTTGAATTTAAAATACCTTGCAAAAACTAAAGTACAGTACTTCTTGGGTTACCAACCAGGTTGGCAGCAACATGTCACTCATTGTCACTCTCTGCCAGCACACACCTGAAGACAGCCTACTTAAAACAAAAGTTATAACTACATCTATATGGTTGGGGGGGGCAACTGAACAATGCTAACTACCCTAGCAAAGCTGACACTAGCTGACAGCAGTACAACACAGCCTATGGAGGTGGTACTGGCTTTCTCATCCTACTCCAACAGCTGTGGTAGCTTGAAACTTTCTCAAATGTAGATTCAAAAAATTCTAAGTTCCAGTCTTTCCAGTGTTGCTTGAGTAAGGACATGAAAGACACTTCACTCCTGACAAGGAAAAGGACAGAAGGGAAGTAGAAGGTAACTGTTTTAATAAAAGAATCATTTTGCATAGCCATTTACACTTGGTACCATACAGAACCTTTAATGAATGTGGTACATATACTCCTCCAACACCATCACATCTTTCAGATCCCACCACAAGATCACATATGCTATAATACTTAAAAGAAATCAGCCAACCAATAAGTATTTGCTTGAACATCAGTTAGGAGATGATTTAATTAAACAATATTTAAACTACACCTCTACCCCGATATAATGCAACCCGATATAACACAAATTCTGATATAACGCGGTAAAGCAGTGCTCGGGGGGGGGGGGGGGGGGGCTGCACACTCCGGCGGATCAAAGCAAGTTCGATATAACGCGGTTTCACCTATAACGCGGTAAGATTTTTTGGCTCCCGAGGACAGCGTTATATCGAGGTAGAGGTGTATCTGGCAATGTCAAATTGTACAATAGCTAAACTATGTAAGTCACATGGACTTATTTTTGTTACTCTTGTGCTTACACCCCATGCTCTTCCATCCTCTGTTTCTCATTCTCACTTGCCACATCTTGGCACATATTTGACTGCAAGATAGGGTTGCCAATTTTGGTCACATGACATAGTTTTAAATTAAAGATTAATGTTTAATTCCTGGAGGTTCCAGGACAATCCTGGAGAGTTGGCAACGCTACTGCAAGTGCTTTGAGGCAGGGATCATCACTTATTACGTGTTTTACAGCAGTGGTTCTCAAAGCCGGTCCACCGCTTGTTCAGGGAAAGCCCCTGGCGGGTCGGGCCGGTTTGTTTATCTGCTGCATCCACAGGTTCGGCCGATCATGGCTCCCACTGGCCGCGGTTCACCGCTCCAGGCCAATGGGTGCTGCAGGAAGCAGCGCGGGACGAGGGATGTGCTGGCCGCCCTTCCCGCAGCCCCTATTGGCCTGGAGAAGCGAACCGTGGCCAGTGGGAGCCACGATCAGCCGAACCTGCGGACGCGGCAGGTAAACAAACCGGCCCGGCCCGCCTGGGGCTTTCCCTGAACAAACGGTGGACCGGCTTTGAGAACCACTGTTTTACAGCACCTAGCACAAGGGGGTGCCCTACCATTTACTGGGGCTGCTGGGTGAAATTGCAATGCAAATACATAATAATAATAATTAAAGCCAGTGTAGTGTGAACTGTGTAGCCTTATACTACAATCTTAAGATTTAAAGGAAGCACATTTTTTTAAACAGAGCTTGACCAGTGGTTTGGTACAATAATTGGTAAAGGCTTCTGGATATCCTTTTCAGCTGATAACATTCCATGTTTCTATATTCACTGTCTAGCTGTGATCCCACCAACCAGACTTTGAGAACCTGCCCTCTGTATGCATCTAAATGTTCTCATAGATACTGCATGGGGAAAGTCATGCAGCCTTTTTGTTCAGCTTTAGGGGGAAAAGATTTACACACTACAAAACAGAATAAGAGAAACAGAATGGAATTTGGCTGTATATCATAGAATATCAGGGTTGGAAGTGACTTCAGAAGGTCATTTAGTTCAACCCCCTGCTCAAAGTAGGACCAATCCCCAGACAGATTTTTGCCCCAGATCCCTAAATGGCCCACTCAAGGATTGAACTCACAATCCTGGGTTTAGCAGGCCAATGCTCAAACCACTGAGCTATCCCACCCCACCTTTCATATTCAAGATATATCAAATATCTTTATAAAGTAATTTAATGCAGTAACTGCGTAGGCAAATGCAACAGCCATTATGCATTCAACAACTCACACAGTCTCTGACATTAAAATCAGTTTTATTTGCATGGGGAATGTTGTGCAGAAGACTTGGTGTTCTGCTGCTCTTTCAGTAACAGGATCTGTAAGTTCCATGTGGACAGTAATTAAAATACATGCCAAGCATTATTCTTACTACAGACCAAAGGAATCTTGAGTTGGTATCTGTTCCAAAGTACAGCCCTTCTAAACAGTGCAGCAGCACTTCCCCTTGAATTATTGCAAGACCTTGCCAACACTGGGGAAAAACACAGATTTAAAAAGGATGACTTTTTAGCAAAGAGGGGGAAAAAACTTTACTAACTGAACCAGGATGACACCAATATAAATAAAAATTACTATTTATTCTAGAAAAAAGCAGCAGGCTGGAGCCACAGTTATGAACAATTGCACTAGTCATGTTTCGTGACGTGATAGGACTTAAACTGCTTTTGTGGTTAAAACACACAAACTCCTTTTCTCCCTAAAGGTATGGCTTTGAACACAGTAGTGTTGCTTTTGAAGCAAAGAGCCCTTTACATGATTAATTATATAACTGATACCTGAAGCTTCCAAACTATGAACAAATATTATTTACACCAGGGGTTCTGAAACTGGGAGTCATGACCCCGCAGGGGATCCTCTGGTTATTACATGGGGGGTCGTGAGCTGTCAGCCTCCACTCCCAAACCTCGCTTTGCCTCCAGCATTTATATTAGTGTTAAATATATAAAAAGTGTTTCTAAATTATAAGAGGAATCACACTCAGGAGCTTGCTGTGTGAAAGGGGGCACCAATACAAAAGTTTGAGAACCACTGATTTACACCATGCTGGCACCTGTGGAGAAAGAGGCAGTCTCTGCTACTACCAATATCTAATTTAAAATCAAATTATATTAAGGGTTTGAGGCCAGTTTGTATAATACTAGATGTGTGGTGTTTCAAAAATTGTTACAACTTACTGAACACCCCATCTGAAAACCTTCAGTGAGGAAAATACCACTTATTTAAAGCCACTTACTTAAAGCTCCAATGGTTTGTGCACTGAAAACTGTAGCGACTGGCTACACAAAATTACCTTCAAGTAAAACCTTTGACTTGTTGTTCTGTCACATCAATTTACAACACAAAAATGGACTCATGCAGAAGATCAGTAAAAAAGTAAATGGAGCATGGTCTGAGTTAATGCAGAAGGTATCAAGACGAAGCCAGAGTTCTGTTTATGCTACCCTAGATAAACAATTTAAGTTACAATTGAGAATTTATACTACATGAATGGTTCTCGAAGCAGTATTTACTTGCAATCTGTAAAAATACAAAGCTTGGTGAGATAAAGTTCCTATATATAAAATTGCTAGAAGATGTCTATACAAATCAGGACTACCTGCAAACTGCAAAGGTATATGGGCATAACATAGTCTAGGGGTTGAAATGGAACTTTGCTTCAGACTCTGTCATAATTGAAGTCCAGTGCTCTAGCTGGTTCTAAACACAGTATTCATCTTTCTTTTTCTTTCTTCAGTGGTTTATTTCATAACATCTTGGCATATAACACTTCTCACCTTTCACTCTTTCCCATCCCTTCCCCAGGCATTGACAGCCAGAGGGTCACCTTACTAGCTAGTCACAGAGAGCCAAAGAGAGTCATTTGGAAAATGGTAAACGAGTTTCTTACATTAATTTGATGAAAAACCAACATGTTTGTGAAGGTTTTTTTTTAAAAAAAATTGATAAACATTTTCAATTTTCAAAAAAGAATTTTCCATTTTTTGACAGAAATATTAAAATGTTGAATGAAAATGTCAATTTTTGGTTGAAATAAGGATAGATAGAAACATTTCAACCACCTCCACAGCCAAGCATTCACCAAACGTTTTTATATAGCCATCAACTCAACCTCATTTATCCTATCGCAGTCAAGAGCAGAGAGGGCTCAGCAGCCTGAATAGCAGCCAATCTGTTGTCTGCAGAGGGAGAGAAAGAGAGTCTCAAACAGCAGTCCCTGCGCTGGGTGGGTAACAATGGGAAAAGTGAGCCTGAAGGCTGCAAAAAGCAGCCGCCTCAGCTTCACTGGGCAGGATGAGAAGAAAAGGGTGCAATTGTCTGAAGAAGAGTCACTTCCTGTGAGGTTTCCCTGTGTCAGAAGAGCAGGGAGAAGCCAGCAAGAACTTTATTTTAACGTTATGTGTATTTTTCATATATATTTATGGCAATATCTTGCAAGAGCAATCATGCATTAATTCCCAAGTGGATTTAATACTTTTCATTTATTTCTGAAATATTGTGTGGGAAATTCTAAAATGACAGACAAGCTGTAGAACTATACAAGACAGCAACGCAAAACACAGAACATTGCCCCAAAATCTTAAACTTCTAAAACTTTGGGTCCTGCAGGTATATGGAAGGCCCATGAACTTTCTGGTCTATGCAGGTGCTGAGGCTGCTCCCTGCTCTGTAACAATACTTTCTCTATTTCCCCATCAGTATTAGCCCAGCAAAGTGGGGAAAGCAACTGATAGCTGGACATAGCCCTGGAAGTAGATTATTAATAAATGTTAGAGATAGAAATATTTACAGATGCAAATACTGGAATGTACACGGGGTTCCATTGGTGAAGTCATAAATTTGAGGAAAAAAGAAGGCAACAGAAAATA